TTACATGACAACGCCAAATTTTACTCAATGCAATCCTAAAACATAGACTTGTGCCTGACCGCGAGAGAAGTTTCAATGGCAGATTTTAACCCCACCTCTCGTGAAATCTCGCTCCAATCCAGGTCTCGTTTGACGTCATCTGCTGCGCAGATGTTCAAAATAGGCTATCCCGGACATCTCCTATTACCCCCTTACGGCTTGTAGAAGGCGGGACGGACATTTAAGCCAGATTATCTGACAGTAATCTAGTGAGACTCCCCACGGGGATAGATCAATCTAAAATCTATAGGAATATGCCCAATGAAACCATTTGGATGAATAACACTTGAATGCTTTAAGTGCCACAATTGGGATAAAATATACTCTTAACCATATGATATCTTTCAGCACTGATTTGAAAATATTAAAGAGAAAGTACAGCAATAGATTCTAAGTCTAGATGATTCTTAACTGCAAAAAAGTGTTTAATGCGGTTTATATAACTTGTTTTGCAAAATTATAACATCAGAAAAGTCAAAGATAATAACTGAAGCCAATTGAGAAAAGTACAACATTCGGCACCACAGGTTATGCTGAAAGTTAAAAGCATATTCAGAACAGCAGACTAACAGATCTGCGGATCATATATAGCTGACTCACTTGAATGCTTGTTGCATAATCCCCGCAGGGAATCTATTCAGTGCAAGCTTTTTTGTAGGTTGCCATATTTGATATGCTGAANAGGCTATCCCGGACATCCCCTATTCCTGAAATAAACATGGAAGTGAATTGAACACGATGCATGCGTGTGACCTTTGGTGACCATGACGTCATACGTACGATACACATACGTTTACTCATTGGCAAAATATTTTAACATTTGGAGAAATCTAACCCTTTTTGCTGCTTTGAGGATGCTCATATCATAAGAAAATTCACATATAATTGTAATTGAATAATTGGAAACAATTACTTCAAGTTTTTAATTACTTTTTCATTATCTTTTTAAGATTCCTAACACACATTGTATGCAGTGTGCCTGCATGTACAAAAAATGTACATATAGCCATCACCTGGGTCTGTCCTTGTCAGTGTGCACTTTCAGAGATAACACTATAAGTGGAAAACCATTTAACCTTCTGTCTTCAAACTTGCAGACTTTATTAATATTCATGAAATACAGGTCACGTCGGAAAATCAGCTTGATTGAAACTTTCTTTTTTGTTACAACCATTTTTTGTTTTATTTCAGCATAAATTATACTACATGTAATACAGATAACACAAAATGAAAAGCAAAGGGCCTATCATCCTCTAACTTCAATAGAGTGGTCAATTATAGTAAAATTAAGGTCAATTTGAGAAGCAGCTTTATTTGAACATTGTTCAAAAAAAAGTTATCCTGATTTTTTTCAGCATATATTAAATTAATGGATTTTCTTTTTTTTTTCCTACAAATTGCAAATGACCATCACCTTTTTACCTATTTTTGCATATGGGTGAAAGAATTGCAGAAGCACAGAAAATGGTAGTCTTTGGCTGATATTTTCACAAGGTAACCAATCCTACCATTCAATTGCCTTGGATCATGTTGTGCCCTTGTCACACAGTCAAAAAGCTATCAATACATGTATGAGCATAGCATAGATCGAAAAATAATGACCTTAATTATTTGCTTAATGACCTTGATTGTTTGCTTTTCCATCTCGGAGTTACAGTAGGAAGTGATATGGCTCACACTCCATGCCAGAACAATGTGTATTCAACAGCATTAATAACTTTTTTGTTGTGCTTTTATTGATCTAAGATTATTAAAGGAATCCTTGAAAAGCTAGGTCTTTCTCTTTTATATTTGAGCAAACATGGTTTAAATAAAAAAAGCCTTCAGGTATGTACTAGTATTAAATCAATGAAAATGCAAAAAAAGCAATTCATTTGGATATTGTCAGAGTGGAATAGTGCACAAAAGACCATTGTATATCACACTTGGCTAGTGGTTTGCTTATTTACCTCTTATAGTAAACACTGAGGTTTTCAGGAATTCCTGAATATCATGCATTATCAAAAATTGTAGGAATATCTAGGGCAAAAAGTTGGTGGGGTATTTAAACATTGATAGTGTAGGTAAATACTGACCTTTAATATTGACCTTTAAATGGAGAAATGTATGCCTCTTTATTGCTTTGAGAAAGTATATGTAGCCCAGATCCAATAAAAAACTCGCCTATAATTGTAATAGATTGGAAATGACCAATATAAGTTTTTATTTTTTTTATTAAAAATATTAATGACAGATTTCTAACACACGCTGTATGTAGTGTGTCACAATATGTGTGGTAAAAATGCAAGAAAAAATGGACATTTTGTTATCATATAAATGATATTCAGAATGAGCAAAGTTGTTTATTAAAAATATTAGTTTTTGCAGGTGCTACATTTTATTAACTGGCTCCAGCATACATAACTGACAGGATCTCAAGTTCCTATTTTTTCCTATTTTTTGGATATGTTCATCTTTTTTAAAAGAATGCTTTTTTGTCTAGAATCTACATGCCCTGTTTAAGTGCAGTTCAGGAAGGTGAGAAGATTACATAAAACTTCAGCTTACCTCAGATGTTTAGGTGCATAGATATATGTATGGTACACAGTTGCAGATGTAGTATCAAACCTAGACCTGTTACAAGTACTCTTAAAACTTTGTTCATCAAAATGCTGACAAAGTATGTGATTGAAGACATTGCCAAAACCTATCGACTACAAAGTAAAAACAGCTTTAACTAAGGTTTACTGGTGAGATCACATAGAAACTTGTTGCAAGGATGGCCATGAAAAGCTCTATCACCTTCCAGCTTGGTGTGTTCCATTTGTGCTGGGCGTTGCCATGAGATATGCAAGAGAAATTGTAGATTATAGAAATGCATTAGTTTGATGAGTTTTGAACCATTTTATCTATTTTTCTAATGATTATATTTATACATTTAGAATAGATGTAAAAACTATAAATACCCAAGTTATGTCCATGGTTTTAATATACTTTTTTAAATACAAAAGTGTTGTGTAAAGGGTAGTATATTTCTTAGTAGTATGTGCCCTCCCCTGGTTGTTATACAGGATAGTACCCTCCTCCTCCTGGACTGTACGAGACTTTAAATACAGGCCTGAGGCAACCTTCTTCATTTTGCCACCAGTGCCGCTCTCAGATCTGCTTCTGCTGAGGTATGTTTGTGCTAATCGGTCAGTATGGGGACAGGCATTGTTTTGCTGGAGTTGTGTTTTGTCGCATAATTGGCACAACAGGTGCTCTTAGGACTTCATCACTGTACTGCAGGCCAGTGAGACTTCAACCAATCCCCATCTAGAAACTGTCACTCATGCCTGCCCATACCATAACACTTGGCCCTCCACATTGGTCATGTTCAACCACTGTTGCATCAGACTACCCTGGCGTGTAATTCAGTCATCTAAATTTAGTTTCCTGTTTCCAGTGTCCTGCAGCATTGATTACAGACAGTTTTTTTCTGTAAGACTTTTATCTCAGTTTGTGTTCAGTTGAGATTTCTTTAATGTAGAGCTAGCCATTCCAGAATCACTCTAGCATATCTTTACTGAAGGACTGAAAGGTTCTGTCACTAAATACATTGGCCAGCTGACTGACAAGTCCAATTTTGGGCACTTTGAAGCACTGGTCAAAACAAAAACTTGCATTTCCTTTTTTGGCAAGTATATTTTAAGTTATATGAAATATCTTTTGAGTTAAGTTTTGCTCAAATGTAACTAAATTGTTCATTTTTTTCCACACAGGAGTCCCCAAAAGCTCTAAGCAGTTCTTTATGTGAGAGTATATTTGTGTTTGTCTGTGTCCATGTGTGTAAGTGTATCTTCTGCCATCTTCTCAGATGGTTCAATGGTGAGAAAAGAACAAATATAAAATCAACAAAAGAAATGGTGAAAGCTGGCCAAATCATTCACAATTTTTGTTGCTGTTCTGGTTACAAATATTATCATGTTCTCACAGTGAAATTGTGCTTAGGGTTGTTAATTCAGCATTTGCAATTATAAACCTGCAGCTCAAAATTGTAAATGGCAATTATTGTTTGAGTCCTGAAACAAACATACCAGCAAAACATACAGCAAAGTTGTCTAGTGAAAAAAAAAACACTGATTGTTCATCAAAAAAGAAAGCCAAACAAAATGATAAAATATGTTTTTGACAGTTTATGTTGTTTTGACTACTACGTAAGCATTATGTATGAAATGTATGTTCCCCTAAAACAGATATGTCACAGTTGCAGTATTCAAAAGAGTTAGCTTACTATTTTAAGTTGTTGTTTGAAAGGTTGTTAGATGAAGGATTGTTGGAACACTAAGGCTTCATTCACATGCAATGTCTATTTTCTAAATTCTATTTTCTATTTGCGCTATCTTATGATCACGGTCTGTGCCCTGAATATCCTGCCGCGTAATTACTGGCAGCGCGAGCCAGTTACTTATAGTAACTTATTGTAACTGGCTCGCGCTGCCAGTAATTACGCCGCGGGATATTCAGGGCACAGACCGTGATCATAAGACATACCGCGAATAGAAAATAGAATTTAGAAAATAGACATTGCATGTGAACGAAGCCTAAGTTCTGTTATTCAGTTTTAAAAAAGATGTGTTAGTTTGGACTGGCTTTAGGGGTGTCCAGAGGGCAACTTTCTTGGAGAATAATTCCTGTTTTTTCTATGCTTTTTTAACAAAATTTCATTTTTTTCCCTATTTTTTGAATATAATTTTCTATTATCTGAAGGTTGGTTATAACTTGAGGCAGCCATCCATCAAACTCAGATACATTAAAGAAACAACTGAGATCAAAATTTGTGTAATTTTTTTTCTTATTCCCACCACCACCATAAAAATCTGTCTACAATCTACAAGAGAAAATACATAAAGTAAATATACATATAATTCAGTTCATATACAACTAACTCTCAAGTTGCAAACACAGTGTAGTTATGCATACCATGTGGATCACCTCGAAATTTGTCTATGCTGAGTATTAGTTGATACGTACACAGTAATAATAGAGTCCACTGCAGTTTTAGTCATTGGTGGAGAAAGTAAAGGATCGGTTGCTCTTTTAGAAGTAGTCACTGTTGAGCTGGTTTCAATTTCACACTTCATGCTAACATCTGGGATCTGTAGAATATCAAGAAATTGACAGATGCTTCCTTGAAAAAAAAGGAGTGCTTGTATTCTTAAGACTAATGCTCAAGAAAAATTTGCATTTTAAAATTTAATCAAAATAGTAAAGAAATTAAACTGTAAATATCTGATCAGACATGCATATCTGATCAAACTTATGAACATAGGCGTAAAACACTAGGACAATAAATTTCCTTTACAAATAAGTGTGTAATAATTAATCTTACCTCTGCGTGATTCCACATCTTTATGTTATGAATGGTTGGAAGTAACACTAGCAGTTTGTTTCATGCGTCTCTGGTGGCAAGCAGCTGGTCCCTTGTCTTTTTGTGGGACTGCTAAAGACTTCAGCCTTCACTTGTGATTGATCCTGGAAAATTTATTCTAGATTTGAGTGGATTGGGTCAAACAAAGGCAACAATGAAAGAGGTATGTTTTACTTGTACCAATAGTATTGGCAGTTAAACATGAACAAACTGACACAGAGATGGACCACGAAACTCTAGGTATTTTTTATTACTTTTGAAAATGTATTATAACTGGACTATAGACTATCTATCATAAAACCTTGTGTTTCCTGAAATCTAATTAACACATAACTGCTTACCCAATGATGTTTTCATAAAGTGGTGGGAAGACATGAAATGAGCTGAACACAACTCGACTGGGACACCCAGCTCCCACACAAGGAACTTCATCTAGGGATTGGCTTGTTTGATGGCCAATATCCATTGCCTTCTAACAGCTTCTCTCTCCTTACTAGTGCAGGAAGGAAATCTATGCCCTCCACGGTTTTGGCACAGTGGAACACAACATTATGTCTGAGGCATGCTTTTTACTTCATAAAAACTGTTGAACACACTGTTGAAGATGCGTCGAGTGCCAACTAGAAATTGTCGGCAACTGATGATCCCTGTTGATTGTGCTCCTTCCAAGTGATTATATCAAAACTATAGGCTTTTACCAAGACACTGATTTTCTGTCATTAGTGTCTGCTAGACCCCATAAACAAAAGGAGCATAATGTTTTGCTTTACTTGATGATCAGTGCTTTTTTTTAGCCATAATTCTGTTACAATGACAGCAGTGATTATCTTATATTGATATTTTTGGATGCACAGGAAAATACCTTTCATGTTGATTTTTTTCAGTATTTTGCATGTTTTAAGGTTGCTGGGGCTTGTTTCATGAAGCAGTAGTTAGTTAGCCACGGGTCGTTAGCCTCTCGCTAGTTATGAGTGCTGTTTCATGAAGCTGTCGTTAGTTCTCTCGCTCGTCATTGTGTCGTTGTTTCCATGGATATTTAACAACTGGTCAGACCACTCGAAAACTTTAGTTTCATCTTACGCATGCATCATGAATGAAATAGAAAGGTTGCTTAGTTACTACTGTCTGTTGTGTCTTTGTATGCAATGTGGGGGCTGCCTTTCTTTGACGACAACATATACTACAACGTTTTCATCAGAGGCAGAATCTATTAGAAAATATGCACGATGATGCAATATACGTTAGGTTCCGCCTGGCTGTGAAAAAAAAGAGCACAAAAAGGTTGCTGGAAATCTTTAGAATGACCTCAAAGCAGTTGTTCTCATGCATTTCTAGCCAGAAATTTGAGAGTTAGTGCATTTGTGACATTTTTACGCAAGAGTTCCACTTCCAGTAGACCGTTCCGAGAGTACGGTGAGTAACGAGAGAACTAATGACTGAACTTTATGACTGAACTTAGCAATGAGTTAACGCCTGCTACGACTGCCAAAAAGTTCTACAAACTACTCATTATTTTTCTTTGATCATTTCAAGGTTTCCAGTTTTTTGTTAGTTTCACTTAAGTCATTATCTTCAAATAAATTATCGTGTGTTTTCAGGATGCAAGTCCTGATATAAGTCGAGCTGCATGTCCTGCTGATGTGGCATTTCCCTTGGATGCAGATCTTGGTATGAGGTGTTGTCATCAAAACCTTGCAGTTGCCATTGGTTCAGCAGTCCTTCCAGGGGTACTTCAATGTGAAGCTGGGTGCCCTCCTCATGTGCTCCATTATCAGGGTGAGGGATATCCTGGTCATCATCATCCACAACTTGTATAGAAAAAAAGAGTATGTCACTTGGATGCAGGTCATGGTACAATGTGACATCAACATCTTCTTGGTATGGTAGTCCTTCCAGTGGTACTTCATTGTGAAGTTGCGTGTCTTGCTGATGTGCTTGGTGATCAGTGTGATAGATATCCTGGTTATCATTATCCACAGTTTGTAAAGAGGGTATCTCAAAGTGTCTGCTATCTTGTATCTCCAAAGGTGGAGTATCTAAGCTGCATAAAGCCAGTCTATCTGTGGCATCCTCAAGTATCTCTAAAGGTGCACTGTTTTGCACCTCTGGCATCTCATTAATTCCACTGTCTAGTCCTTTCAGAAGTATATCTCCCAAAGCAGTTGAGTCATCCTTGCTAAGAGCAAGTATATCTCTCTCATCCTCAAGCATCTCATAAGGTTCACTATCTGGTTCTTTCCAAAGTACATCTTCCAAAGGATTTAAGTCATACTTGCTAAGAGCAAGTTTATCTCTCTCATCCTCAGTCATCTCATAGGGTTCACTGTCTGGTCCTTTCAAAAGTACAGGGTCCAAAGCAAGTGAGTCATCCTTGCCAAGAGCAAGTTTATCTCTCTCATCCTCAGCCATCTCATAGGGTCCACTGTATAGTTCTTTCAAGGGTAGTCTTTTCAAAAGTACATTGCCCAAAAGGATTAGGGCGTCTTTGAGTGTCTTAAAATGTCCACTGTCAGTCATTGCGTAGGGTTCACTGTCTGGTCCTTTCAAAAGTACATGGTCCAAAGTGAGTGAGTCATCCTTGCTAAAAGCAAGTTTATCTCTCTTGTCCTCAGCCATCTCATAGGGTCCACTGTATAGTTCTTTCGAGGCTAGTCTTTTCAAAAGTACCTTGCACAAAAGGATTAGGACATCCTTGAGTGTCTTAAAATGTCCACTGTCAGTCATCGCATAGGATTCACTGTCTAGTCCTTTTAAAAGTGCATAGTCCAAAGCGTTTGCATCATCCTTGCTAAGAGCAAGTTCCTCTCTCTCGTCTACAGTCATCTCATAGGGTTCACTGTCTGGTCCTTTCAAAAGTACATGGTCCAAAGCTAGCGAGTCATCCTTGCCAAGAGCAACTTTATCTCTCTCGTCCTCAGCCATCTCATAGGGTCCACTGTATAGTTCTTTCGAGGCTAGTCTTTTCAAAAGTACCTTGCACAAAAGGATTAGGACATCCTTGAGTGTCTTAAAATGTCCACTGTCAGTCATCGCATAGGATTCACTGTCTAGTCCTTTCAAAAGTGCATAGTCCAAAGCGTTTGCATCGTCCTTGCTAAGAGCAAGTTCCTCTCTCTCATCTTCAGTCATCTCATAGGGTTCACTGTCTGGTCCTTTCAAAAGTACATGGTCCAAAGCGAGCGAGTCATCCTTGCCAAGAGCAACTTTATCTCTCTCGTCCTCAGCGATCTCATAGGGTCCACTGTATAGTTCTTTCGAGGCTAGTCTTTTCAAAAGTACCTTGCACAAAAGGATTAGGACATCCTTGAGTGTCTTAAAATGTCCACTGTTAGTCATCTCATAGGATTCACTGTCTGGTCCTTTCAAAAGTACATGGTCCAAAGCGAGTGAGTCATCCTTGCTAAGAGCAAGTTTATCTCTCTCGTCCTCAGCCATCTCATAGGGTCCACTGTATAGTTCTTTTGAGGCTAGTCTTTTCAAAAGTACCTTGCCCAAAAGGATTAGTGTCTCAAAATGTCCACAGTCAGTCATTGTATAGGTCCCACTGTCTAGTTCCAAATGTGCCTTGTCCAAAGTGATTAAGACGTCCTTGCTAAGAGCAAGTTTATCTCTCTCATCCTCAGCCATATCATAAGGTCCGCTGTGTAGTTCTTCCAAATATGCCTTGTCCAAAGGGAGTTTATCTCTAACAGCCTTGAGTACTTTCATTTTATTGCTCCTTTTGTTAACAGCAAGTTTCTCTCTCTCATCCTTGGACATCTCATCAAGTCCACTGTCTAGTGTTTCCAAATGTGCCCCGTCCAATTTGCTCTCCAAAGATGACATTTTTGAAATTTCTAAGGGCCAGCTGCTTAAGTTCAGTGGCTTCTGCTTTCCATTACCTTCACCATCAGCTGAGTACAGATCAGTGTCTTCATTACCATCATCATCATAACCATCAGTTGAGGGATTTGCATCTTCATTACTGTTATCATAAACATCACTGAAGGGATCTGCACTTTCATCTTGACCTTCAACTGTGCTAGTGTTGTTAACTGCTGACTCCTGTATAAATGTTTAATATGAATTATAAGTAAAAGTTTAATATGAATTATAAGTTATCTAGTTTTACATTTTAAGTTTGAAAGAGCAGTTAAATGAACAATTTTGTCTGTAACTATTACATCAAGAATATTAGAGCATACATTCTACCATGGGTGAGTTATATTTGCATTGAGTACAGAATGTACTTTTATGTGTATGTCATTCTAACATCAACAGTTACTTCAAAAATTACTCTGTAATTAAGCTGTAGTTATGCATTTTCATTTACTTCTGTAACCAATGAAAAAGGTCTTGGTATTATATACTTCACACCATGCCACCAGACCCCAAAATATAGTCACAAAATTGAGAATTGGCAGATCTTCGAAGACATTAATACTGTGAACACAGAATACTTCTAATATATATATATATATCCTCAATATACCAAATTTTATTTAATTAAAGGATGCATTTAGGGGGGTGGCAGGAACATGGCTATCTTCTTAACCCACCAAGGTGGCATATCAATAAAAAGTTTGTTTCAACAGCTATTCATTTTATATCATTAATTTATTACAAAATAGGTACTTAAGGAGATATAATGCTAAATAGATTTTCTCAGAGAAAGATTTAGATCAGCTTCAAAACTTATTTGAACTTTCAACATATGAAAAATTGCTCTTATTCATTAGATTATAGCTTTGTCTTACAGATATCATATGCCTGGGTTTCCATAGTACTAGCTATATTTTCAAACTATGAGTGTTTTGGTCAGGGTAGGGTTTTTTGTGAAGGGCTGTTTCTATCAACTGAGATAGTAATTTATCACAATTATTGTACCACCAGCGTAGGCGCTGGCGNTGTTTAATATGGATTTAATTTGTTTAGTTGCAAATAAAAGTTCATTATGATTTTCATTTACTGAAATTGAATAAGAGTGGCATTTAAGAATTTATATTTCACCTTGACATCTGTTTCATTAAAGGTTTCTTCTGCTTTGTAAAGCTACTCCCTACCTCTCCATTTCCAGTTTCTGTCTCAGTTTGTTGTGGCTGACCAGCTTCATCTTCACCTGCAGAAACTTCATCCTGCTGAACTTTACTGTGCTGTTGGTTATTCATTACAACTCTGTATAGGACAAACACAATGATTTATTTTCTATTGTGCACAAAATTGTCCCGTAGAAATATTAGCACTGCTTTCCTTTTATTTTACTTTAATCTTCATAAAATATTTTATGATGAGGACAATCACATCCATAACATTTACATAAAGTTGCATTTTCATTCATGGATGTGTGTAGACTTAATTTTTATGTCTTTACAGCAAAAATAATAAAAATACTGAAGGCATGGTACAATAGAAATGTGAAGAATAAATGAACCACTAAAATACCATACACTTACCAATGAATGACCCATGGTAATGTCATTTGAAAGATTCCTCTCATTGCTGTTTTCTTTAAAGTGAGTTTGATTTAGCTTTCGAAAATGGGATCTAACATATTTTCTTTTTTTTTCTCTTTCTTATTTTGATCCGTATATTTCTTGGATGTCTCATAGGGAAGAGTTTTCCTACCCCTCCAGATCTTCTGCTGTTGTTGACTAGTGAATCCTGTAAGAATGTTGTAGTACATGTTGATTTAAAATGTGGCAGCTGTACTTTCAACGACTCTAAATGAGTGTGTGTGCGTAGTACAAATGCATTGTTTACATTGGCTATAACCTATTGTGACAAACTGAGATAATTATTATTAGGTTATAGTTATCATCAATAATGTTAACTTCATTTTTTGGCACCATGCTGTCAGCCCTTAGTCCTTACCTGCATGAAGTTACATTTTGGTTACCAGAAATTCTTTATCTTTGGAAATTACATTTTGTGAGGTTAGTACATGTAAAGCAGTAGAACAGCCAAAAATGGTATCAGGACCTAATAAATATACATTGATACCTGTTTCAGTGGGAGCACCTAGGGCTGGTTTGACAAACTGTTAAGGTGTTGGTATCAGCTATCTCTTTGGTGAACATGACAGTTTTGTTAAGAATTATCAAAACATTGTTATAACATAACATATTTACTATTGTTATAACACAACAATAGTAAATACCAATGAATTGCATTTTCAAGACTATAGTGTGCCTTGTGCAAATTCTGGTATGTTGTATTCAGGTTAAAAAAAAAGCAAACAAGTTCTGTCAAATCTGTACATGTGTTGGTTGGGGAATAAGTAGGTGAAGTTAATACTAATAAATAAACATAATACAGCACAAACATTGATTTCATTTAACTGTCCTCTCCTCCAAGATAAAAATTTTCCTGTTCAGCTAAGTGATTCTACACATTTTCACAATGACAGTTGAATACATGGTTATTAGACTGTTAAAGCAAAATCTGTTCTGCAAAATTAGGTTTTATGCAAATTTTTCATCATACAAAGGGGATAAGAAAATGGAGGGGAAATCTTTTTACTTGCACATATAATTGAGCCTACATGAGTAAATCTCGCATTCTCTTGGAAGTATTTTTGCAAAGGCCATCTTATTAATGGGCATGGTCAGAGCTATTTGATGCATGTAAACGTCGCTATCAGTAATGCAAAGTTATCGATCACCTTGAGCTGTTGGCCTTCTTTTTTTGTACAGTTTTCATTTACATTCAGTAGAATAGTAGTTACAGTAGGATGCTGTCTGAATATGACTCCTATCCCACAAAAAAGAGCATTCATTAGTATTAACAACATTCAGAATTTAGTTTTTCTTCTGTTGATCTAAGATTTCTTTTGTAAGGTCAGGCTGCCATCTTTCCTTTGTTAGCTAGCAAATATGAAAAAAAAAGGAATGTATTAAGTCAATAAAAATGGGTCAGATCAGTTTATCTGAATGTCAACAGTTAAATAGTATGCTTAAGAATTTACTACACTTCCTAGTACTTACAAGGTAAACGGTTTTTCTTCAACTAAACTCGATCTACAAAATGGAGACTTGACTTTGTGACGATCGATAGCCACTGTATGCTCTTTAGTATAGGGTGAACCAAAAAGATATCACATAGTTTAAAGGTAAAAGGGCAAACAGTTTGCGGGCATGTTTTAACATTTGAAAAAGTTTGGTTAGATATTGACATTTCTTTTGGAGCTATAAGCCTCTCTATTAGTGCTTTTAGGTTATAGGAGCTCAGATAAAGAGAATAAATAACAATATAATGAAAATGTAACTGGTAAAAGAGTTTAAAAAAAAAGTTTTTTTTTTTACTTTTCAATATTTATGAAAGATTCCTTACGAATGCTTAATGTAGTGGTGTTGAGTAGAAGAAAGGAAACTTCAATGTAAGTACAGTTAATTTGCATTTATTAGAAAACTAATTTTATGTTTCTAGGCCCAGGAATAGCAGTCAACAGTATGTGTGTAACAGAGTCCTTCTGTGTGACAGGTTCAGACGATGGATACCTGCGCCTCTGGCCACTTGACTTCAGCCATGTGTACCTGGAGGCAGGTAGGTGATTTCAGTGGTCATCCTCTGGCCACTTGACATTCAGCCATGTGTACTTGGAGGCAGGTAGGTAATGTCAGTGGTCATCCTCTGGTCACTTGACTTCAGCCATGTGTGCCTTCAGGTCTATAGCCATCAATTTTATTGGAGGATCTTATCTTTAAAAAAGGAGAATATTTTTATTGCAGAATCTGCTAAGATCAAAGATTTATTAAGCACAATAACCATGTTGGTTTCAAGTAGTTCCTACGTAAAGTATTAAGTGGTACCCATTAGTATTAAGAGTTAGAACCTACTGAAAACATCAGTACCTACTACCTATCAGATATGTAATTTTTCACTGTGGTTAAACACTGTGTTGAATAACTCTGGCACACACCAGAGGTGTGAAGATTGTGTTTAATGTGTGGTTCACATTATATTTTAGAGCACGAAGGTCCAGTAACTGCTGTTGATATAACAGTGGATGGATTGAAGATCTTAGCTGGAACAAGCACTGTAAGAAGCATTTTCACTCAAATGATAACATTTTAACTTATTGTTGTTTATTTATTTATTTATTTATTTATTTATTTATTTATTTATTTATTTATTTATTTATTTATTTATATGTAGGGTAATCACTATGTGTCTGTACTGTTTGAACTATCAGCCCAACCATTATGAAGTTTTTCTACTTTTTCAATATATACATGTAGGTAACTGATGTCATTTCCATCATGTGTTAACTTAGGTAACTGGTCTTGAATCTACTCTTTAAACCTGTAGGTTAGCTACTTCCATGTCTACACAAAAACATCTAGTCGGATACAAATGACCTGTCTATACTTTTTTATCAAATAGACTTTATACTGTATTATAATCTATTGTAACTATACTCTATACTTCACTATCACATAGGGTAACCTTGGTATACTGGACGTGTCCACCAGAGGCTACACCACAGTGATGAGGTCCCACACTGACCCTGTGGTGTCCCTGGCCATAGACTCCATGAGAAAACACATGGCTACAGTCTCCAATGATCACACTATTAGGGTCTGGGATTTGGACACACTGCAACAGGTGAAATGTTTTTCTCTATTTTAAAAAATAAGTTGGTTGATATGTCTTAGAGAGAGGCTTTAAAAGAAAAGATGGGTTTGAATTTAATGATGCAGTCAGGTAATTCATAATATTTAGTAAAATTCAATACGCCATGAATATTTTCCTTTTGTATATAAGGCCAACTAGTCAGACCAGGGGGTTGAAATGCTAAAAGTCCAGATTTTGTTTCAGTTATATGACTTCAGTGCCCCCCAGGAGTGTCCATGTGCAGTCAGTTATCACCCATCACAACAGGTGTTTGCGTGTGGCTTTGAAAATGGCTGTGTACGCATCTTCAATGTGGCCACAACTAGCATGCTGGCAGAGCACAAGTAAGTGGAAGTTTCTCATGCTGTGGAAATATTTTTTTGGGAATATGTTTTGATTCTTTAACAACCATGAAAAACTGTGCCAGAGCTAATGGGAAAACACTTTGTACTTATCTTCTAGATCATCACATGTTACCTCAAAACTGTATTTATTTGGAAAATATCTTTAGAATCTTATTTATTTTCAAAATTTAAAAAAAAAAGAATTTATTTAAATTACGTGGATTTTAGCATTTTGATATGGCATGTCAATGAAGATACAATAATTTTTTTAAAATAATTTTGATTTTTTTTCTCAAATTATGTCAAGTCTTAGTGTTTAGATTGTTTTGTCTAATTTTGAATTTTTGTTAATTTTTGAAAAAGTTATGTTTTTATTGAAGTATATTGATTTAAATGCACATATAATTGAGGGCACTTAAAAGGAACCATTTCCTTTCTTTACTTAGGCAGCATCGAGGGAAAATCACAGGTCTTGCATTTTCTCCAAGTGGAGAATATCTCTACAGCTCCTGCTCTCTGGGCTCTGTTGCATTATATGATGCCTCAGAGAATGTCTATGGTCTACTCCGGTTGCTAGGTAACACCATCGCAAGGGGGGAGAAGTTTGGTCCAGATGCCATCGCGGTGGCACNATCACATAGGGTAACCTTGGTATACTGGACGTGTCCACCAGAGGCTACACCACAGTGATGAGGTCCCACACTGACCCTGTGGTGTCCCTGGCCATAGACTCAATGAGAAAACACATGGCTACAGTCTCCAATGATCACACTATTAGGGTCTGGGATTTGGACACACTGCAACAGGTGAAATGTTTTTCTCTATTTTAAAAAATAAGTTGGTTGATATGTCTTAGAGAGAGGCTTTAAAAGAAAAGATGGGTTTGAATTTAATGATGCAGTCAGGTAATTCATAATATTTAGTAAAATTCAATACGCCATGAATATTTTCCTTTTGTATATAAGGCCAACTAGTCAGACCAGGGGGTTGAAATGCTAAAAGTCCAGATTTTGTTTCAGTTATATGACTTCAGTGCCCCCCAGGAGTGTCCATGTGCAGTCAGTTATCACCCATCACAACAGGTGTTTGCGTGTGGCTTTGAAAATGGCTGTGTACGCGTCTTCAATGTGGCCACAACTAGCATGCTGGCAGAGCACAAGTAAGTGGAAGTTTCTCATGCTGTGGAAATATTTTTTTGGGAATATGTTTTGATTCTTTAACAACCATGAAAAACTGTGCCAGAGCTAATGGGAAAACACTTTGTACTTATCTTCTAGATCATCAAATGTTACCTCAAAACTGTATTTATTTGGAAAATATCTTTAGAATCTTATTTATTTTCAAAATTTAAAAAAAAAAAGAATTTATTTAAATTACGTGGATTTTAGCATTTTGATATGGCATGTCAATGAAGATACAATAATTTTTTAAAAATAATTTTGATTTTTTTTTCTCAAATTATGTCAAGTCTTAGTGTTTAGATTGTTTTGTCTAATTTTGAATTTTTGTTAATTTTTGAAAAAGTTATGTTTTTATTGAAGTATATTGATTTAAATGCACATATAATTGAGGGCACTTAAAAGGAACCATTTCCTTTCTTTACTTAGGCAGCATCGAGGGAAAATCACAGGTCTTGCATTTTCTCCAAGTGGAGAATATCTCTACAGCTCCTGCTCTCTGGGCTCTGTTGCATTATATGATGCCTCAGAGAATGTCTATGGTCTACTCCGGTTGCTAGGTAACACCATCGCAAGGGGGGAGAAGTTTGGTCCAGATGCCATCGCGGTGGCACCAGAAGGAAGACGAATTGCATTCATTGGGCCAACTGAGTTCACAATCAGTGTGCTCGATGCACGAACACTTGATGAAGTGAGTAAGCATTGTATCTTTTAAACTCATGGATGGGTTTGAACTATTTTAATTCTTAATTAATTTTATTTTTATTTTTATTCAGTTATTTATTGGTTTTAGTTTGCTTTAGTCAGTCCTTTCACCAGTTGCTTCTTAAGAGACAATCTACTATTTAACAGTATTGTAACTTAATTCTTTGTTTCAGGTCCTCAGAATAGACATCACCTCTTTGAACCCCGCAGACAACACCCGTACTATAATAGACACAGCAGTGAGGGTGCACTACGCTCCAACACACACCAGACACCTCCTGGTGGCCACATCCTCAAATAGTCTGCTCAAGTTTGATGCTAGGACAGGTCGTCTGCTTTCAGAGGTGATTTGTTTTTTCAGGAAAATATATTTTTTTTCTTCGTCTTGAGTAAGACCCAAAAACATTTTTAAAGGGTGGATGATAGTTTTAAAAGTAGCTTTATTTTATTCATAGTGTACAAAATTTATCCTTTGTATTCTTAGATATACCTAGATAACGAATTAACACCAGTCTCATTTTTTCCATCTATAGTTGTACATACGTTAAATGTCAGATCTTGGTTACTTACCTTGTTATGGCCTACTTCAGACCATATAGAACTTGTTTGTAGCTAAGATCTAATAAACGGATACCCTTTGAAGAATTGCCGAGTGTCCAATCTTTGGTATATTAGATCTTAGTTTGTAGCAGTCTATCAATTTTTTCTCACTTCCATAGATAAAGAAATAGTTGAATGAAAGTTATACAGTTTTTGAGAAAATAAACTAATTGTTTTAATTCAATTTTATTTTTCAAGATGAATAACATTCATCGTAGTGGTTGCACCTCCCTTGACGTCATTCGTGATGGTCGCCATCTTGTCACAGCAGGGGATCGGGTTATCAAAGTCTGGGACTACCACATGAGATTGGACCTTAACTTTCAGGTACTTTAATATCTTAAAACCCAAGAAATTGGTTAATAGATGTTGTTTATTTTATAACAATTGAATTTGTCAGAAAGAAAACTAAAACAGATATTCATAATAAATAGCAAATAGATTTTATGACAGTGTTTTGAAACATCTTTTTTTTCTGAAGTTTTACCAAAAAAAAAAAAAGGAAAAGAAAAGAAAAATGCACACAAAATATATGCATAGATGCAATTTTTGTTTACAGTGGTATGCTTCTTGTTGCCAACATTAAATACATAGGTCTTCTGGTCTTCATCTTACACCCCATTTCCATAGATTTTTAGATCGATTTATCCCTGTGGGGAGTCTCACTAGATTACTGTCAGCTTGGCCAGCTTAAGCGTCTGTCCTGCCTACTAAAAGCTGGAAGGGAGTAATTAACTATGGTGTCTGCTCGGCTGACTGCAATTTAGCGTGAACCCCCAGGGAGTAAGGTCGATCTAAATTTTAATCCCTGGATCAATCTAAATCTCTGGAAATACAACCTAAGGATACTAAGATACGGCTTTGAGTAGATGTTTGTATGTGTCCACCTTCTCTTCTTCTTATCATTTTTATCATTATGTTAATTTAATCCATTTAATTAATTAATTAATTGGTTAATCCAGGTGTTCATAGGTCACACAGAGAAGATCAGCAAGGTGGTGTTCACACCTGACAGTCTGGGTGTAGTCAGCATTGGGGAGGCCATCTTCCTCTGGGATTTCATGGCCAACAAGAGAGAGGTGGAGACACTGGAGTGAGTTTGCTGCTCAGTATTAGTATTGTAGTATTGGTCATGGTGTGATATTTTCAGCATTTGATTTCTATGACTCAAAAAGAGAATTTCTTCATATCCAGTTTTTGTGCTTTCAAAAGAAAAAAAAGAAAAAGTGAATGACCATTTCTATTCATTTTGGGGTGTTTGATTCAAATGTCTTTTATGGTCTTCCTTATTTCCCTTGGTGTAAGACTATTCCAGCTTGATTTTATTGGAAGTTATGTCATTTCAGAGGCAGAACTCCTGTGAAAAGCTACATTCGAAGGGAAGATGGTGAGTTGCATCCGTTCCAGGAAAATTATCATTTTGACACTTAACAGTCCCTGCCTCACTCACTCACAAACACACACACACACACACACACACACACACACACACACACACACACACACACACACACACACACACTTTGAACATACACATACAAAATTCATCATTAGGAATGTTTTCAGAGAATACCACAGAATCCCTGGGTTGAAGGAGGTTATATTGAATTGGGTTTAAAAGACCAATTAATTGGTTCATAATCAATTGTAATGGAGGGTATCAAGCTTTCTGTGTTGATATAAAGCTTTAAACCCATTCTCACCTTGCTTTAAACATGTTACGTTCCAGCTGAGCGAGAGGAGGTCCAGTTCAAGAGCCCAGTCCGTAGAAGTCTCAACATGTCCCTGACAGACATGCCCAGGAGGAGTCCCCCCAAACCTGCCAGATATGACCCCAAGATCTCTGAAGTCAGTGCTCTGCACAAGACCACTAATGGAGGTATCTATTAATCCTTGAGGCTTTGTATAACTATGGATAGAAATAATTTTGAATGTTTAGATTGATTAATTTTCATGTTCATGGTTTTGACTGTTTTTAATTATAAGTCATGATTATAGCCGTTTGTTTAAAATTTTGAGCTCTGCTGTGAGTTCAGCCCCACACACACACTCTCTCTCTCTCTCTCTCTCTCTCTCTCTCTCTCTCTCTCTCTCTCTCTCTCTCTCTCTCTCTCTCTCTCTCTCTCTCTCTTTAACTGGCTTTTTAAAGCTATATTTGCCTGCTATTATATAACACTGTGTTTGATATATTATGTCATATCATATATTGCATTTGCCCTGATCTTGGTCTAGATGTGGGGTTTGACGAGCCTGATGAAGACCAGGAAGAGGTGTTGTTTGGACCACAGCTCCAGGAGAAGGCTGGGGACACAGAGACCACAGATACTGAATCAGTGCGTAGGACATGTGTCTACTAAAAAAATTGAAGCTGTTTGTGTACAACTGAATCAACATGTAGCTCATGGGTTATATTTATTTTATATACCAACGATCTCTCAGTACTTTACACATGAAATTAATTTTTTTGTTTGGTTGCATTATCAATAAACATAGACACCAACATGTTGGTAGTCGAATATATTCATAAAGAATTTCTTGAAACTTGAATACATTTTGTTTTAGTTTTTGTGTATATTGGTAAGCGAAGTGGCAAATTTATTATTATTATTTTTATTATTATTATTATTATTAAATGGTAAAACTGTCATAGCCAGTACCAGGGGAACTTGAACATGAACCCAACAATTGAAACATGTAAAAATTATAACTCTAGGTAACAAATAGGTTCAAAAAGGTCATTGAATCCAATCCTTCCCCTCCAGGTAGCAGAGATAGTAGGTCATGAAACATTGGGACACAGCCCCCAAGTACAGCCCCACCAAAGATACAAGTCTCCAGCCAAGCACCGTGCCACAGTCAGCAGCAGAAGTCTCAGGAAGTCTGCCGGAGTCACGGCTCATCCACCACCTGCTGTACATAAACATTTCAAACCAAGGCCTAAGACTTGTCAGCTGGCACAGGTGATTTGAAAAAAAAATTAAAGCAGGATAACTTATATTAATACACATGGGTCAGTTTTACAATTTTACACAGGGGCCAGCTTTAGATTTTTTTTACCCATTATTTATGGTGATGATATTTATGTGAAGCCTTACTGTACACAATAATAAAACAAGACATGAAATATTATCTGTTCTAGCGTCGTTATGTTGCTCCCCCTAACCAGGCTGGGTTACAGCTGATGTCTGTACTGGGATATAATGGCAATGGAAGAGACAACATGATCTGGCAGCCAGACACGGGTAAACTTTATGGCATATACATATTGGTATATACAATATTATTGAAAATGTGTGTGGATTTACTATGTCTTTCAATAGACTTCAACAGTGTGTGTTGTCTATAATAGTGTTGTGTTCCCTTTCACAAGGGCAACTCCTATTTGTTTCTGATGACTCCTCCAATGGTTTATTTATTTATTTATTTATTTATTTATTTATTTATTTATTTATTTATTTTGCCATCAGGTTTTGCTTAACTTGACCATGTGATATTGTAAAAAAAACTAGTATAATTTACATTTCAGGTTTCTTTGCTTACACTTGTGGCTGTATAATAGTAGTAGAAGACCTAAGTCAGAGTACACAGAGGCACCTCATAGGTAGGTGGGGGAAAGTAACCAGATGTATCACAGTCCACAGTAATATCCTTGTAATGGACAGTTGAATGATTAAACAAAAATCAGATTATATATTAATAGTATTTTTTCATCAACTATAAAATCAAACATGTCTTTTAGACATTACATGAATTCATCAATCAAGATTTATCTTTAATAACAGGGTCTCGGACAAGTGCAGCATTATTCACACAGCTTACATTCTCAACTTATTTCAGAGTTTAGTGTTTAGTCCTTTGTTAATATATTTTGTTTTTGAAGAGCAATGATATGTTTGAAGTAGCACTGGTTCTTGGGAATCTAAACTGTAACCATTAATGCATTCATATACCAAGTTTTGATTGTTGATATTCAATGTTATTGTCACTACAGGTCACACAGAGGAGATCTCAACATTAGCTTTACAGAATGATTGTCAGGTGGGTGGAGCTTAATACTCATATTGTATTGATGATATACTAGTGGTGCTAGTTCTCTTAATGAACAAAAGACATTTATTTATATGCATGTATTTATATGCTTAGTGAAATAGATTTAAATTGTGTTTTTGATACTTTTCCTACTATGTCCTTTGTCAACTTCTCTGTCTCCAGTTATTCAGAGCAAATTAATGCCTGCTAATATGTATTTTTTATGTACAGACACAGATGTGTCTGTTCATATTGCCATCACCTGCGTCTGTCGTCGCCGTCGTCGCCGATGGCGATGCCGTCGCCGTGCACTTTCACTGTAAACATGATAAGTGGAACACAGTTTTATTTTTTGGTTTTATATTTACAGAGCTGATGAATATTCATAAAACGCAGGTCAAGTTCGAAAATCAGCATGATCGGGGCATTATTGTAGAAGTTATGCTGTTTTATCACTTTTCAGCATATATGCAACCCTGTAAACACATTTTAAGGAAAACCGTTAGGCCTGTTGTCATGAAACTCACAAGAGTAATCAATCTTACTAAAACGCAGGTCAAGTTCGAAAATCGGCATGATCGGGCCACTATTTTAGTAGTTATGCTGTTTTTTCCTTTTTTTCAGCATATATGCAACACTGTAAACACAATATAGGCCAATTGTTATTAAACTCACAGGAGTGGTCAATCTTACTAAAACGCAGGTAGAGTTTGAAAATCAGCATAATCGGGCCATTATTTTAGAAGTTATGTTAAAATTTGATGTTGAATTTGCAGTTTAACATTATGTACTTTTGCATCAGAATTGGCAGTAGCCTATTTTGTGCATAGTTATTTCCTGCTTTTTGTCGGTACATTTGACAGCTTTGCTGCCTTGTTTTTCAGTATTCCCAACTTAAAATAAGTTTTAAGTACTGCCATCTATTGCTGTTATTAGCCTCCATGCTTAATCTCAAGTTATTATCACAAAACTTGCTTTGATTTTATACTAATAGACTAGCAAATGCATGTTAGTTGATAATTATAATGTCAGTATTTTTGACAATTCCAGGTGTTGGCCTCGGCCAGTGGCGGAGCAGGACTGACCCAGAGTCAGATATGCCTGTGGGATCTTCAGCAGATGGTTTGTCATAAAGTGCTGAGTCATCATGAACAGGAAGTGGTGTGTATGGCCTACTCTAGGGATGACAGGTTCCTCATCTCTGTAGGTGAGTGGGACAGGGAGCTGCAAACAGATAGGGGGCACAGTTTTGAAAGAGAACTGTGGCCATATTACGACTAATTTTCAGTCTGTAGTTCTTTGTTGAAACCAGCCCCTGCTGACAGAATGTGGTTTTAACCTAAAGATAAAAAAGAAAAAAGATGCACATAAGTTATTACATTATAAATTTTAGAAGAAAGTAAGAAATGTCTGATTTTTAAATACAATATGTACTTTATTTTAATGACGAACTGCAAATTTCCTCTGCATTGAAAAAAAGGAATTTAGAATTTTGGCCCTAACACTTGAACAAACTATCAACCTTTATTTCTTTTGTAATATCAGCACCAGACTCGAAGAAGCAAGCTATCCAGGGATCAAGGTGATAGGATGAGACAAATATGATAATCACAGATAAAGTGCTTGTCTTTCCTTTTTCTATCAGGTGACTACAGAGAATGCTCAGTTGTGGTATGGGATACTAAGACCTATGCTGTTCTCACCACCTCCCACACCTCCCTCCCCATACACCAGCTGACCTTTGACCCTTACACCATGAATGAGTTTGTCACAGTGGGGCAGAACGGGAGTGTGCTGTTCTGGTTGCTAGACGAGACGGGAGCTGACGTGGTGCTGAATGTCCATGAGGCAGAGGTACCAGAGGAGGTGCTACAGACACATCACATGGTAAGGCAGGGGGGGGACATTTTGAAATTGTCGCTTTCAATATTGGAATATTTTTGGTTTTAGCCTTATGGTAGAATTATGCCATGTTTTGAATTTAACCTTGGATATTACCAAGTAGACTGGCTGACTTTGCTGTCACATAATATAGAATTAGTATTCACTTTTTTGTTTTTTGTTTTGTTTTGTGATAATAATAACACCATAAATTGATAAATTCTTTCATGATGTACTCTGAGGAAATATCTATGTGGCTTATAATATGTTTAAGATTATTTAAAATAACTGACAATAAAACAAACAAAAAATTACACTGACAACACAATAAACAAACTAATTATTCACTACAAAGACAATACTGAAACATTGATTTTGTTTGGTGATAAAGCAGAAAATCAATATCTAACTAGGGGAGTGGTCAGGTGGACTTCACAGCAGCATGCTATGGAGGAGACAGCACCCTGTACATCACCACTAACAATGGCAAAGTCACAGCCTGGGACACAAGGCACAATTCCTGCTTCATGCATTTTGAGACAGATGGCACAGAAATAGGTAAAATTTTGTTAAATTGGTTGGCTGACACTTTTGGTCCCTTAAACCCTTGACCCGGTTGCTTGTCACTAGGACTAGTAGGCATACTTATTGAAAATTGCTGCTGTTCCCTTCCAACTAGTAATTTTGATATTTTGACCCAATACATTACACTGCTGTCACTGTGTATGTTGTTTTGATTTGGATTTGTGATTTAGTCGTACAATGACTAAACTTTTCCTTATTTTTCCATTATTTATGCAAGTGACTGACAAATAGACATGTCAGTTTATTGGTAAAATGGATAGCCATTGTCACTATTTCTTTAAAATGAGCAATAAGTACCTTGCTTTGATGGCTATTTATTTCACTCAGACATGAACATTTTAAAATTATGATTATTATTTTTCTCCACTCTCAGGTGCAGTAGTTTGCCGCAGTGGTCGCCTAGTGACCGGTAGTGTTGGCCACAACCTCCGTCTGTGGTCAGTGGTTGGTATTGGAGAGTTAAAGTTACCAGGAAGTCACTACACCATGAGACAAGAGGGGCTGACCATGGAGGATGAGATGAATCTGGACGGCCCCATCTCGTGTGCTGCCTTTGACGACACTTTAGACATGGTGGGTAGACTACTTTTGTCAGTTATGCCATGGCTGGCGCTTGTATTTTGCATACAGGCTTGCCTGTATTTTCATGCACTTCGGTGTGTTCATCCTATTGTTAGAAGAACCAGCCGTGGTATAAGTTCATTACAACTACTTGTCAATCACGGTATGCAACATACAGTGGACGACTCATGTTGGAACTAATTGGCTTCAATGGAACTTGGTTCCATTGCATTTTATCTGGTTGTGCTCATTCTGACTGAGTAACTTTTAGCCATATTTCACTAAAGAAAATGTAAAATATTTTGCTGCTGCTTTAAGCCCAGTTTGTTGTTTATTTTAGTTCATGGTTTTGATTTTGCAAAAAGATTAATCAACTTATCTGGATAATTAACAATGTCATATTTCAAAATTATGAAAAATTTTTTCCGTAGAATTGATGTTATGTTTGAAAAAAATGTGAAATTGTTTTTTGGTTAAAAAGTACTTATACTTAAGATTTTTATTTCACACCCCAAAGAAACCAGCCTGAATTGCATTATTTTAATAAGAAAGAATTTACTGAGATATAAAGCAATTACCTACCACTTTGATGTGTTTTATGGTTCTTTTCCAAATTCTGTACTATTATTTTTATATCGAGTACAATGTATTCTGTGTGTTTTCCAGGGTATAGTTGGCACAGAGACAGGAACACTGTGGTACATCAACTGGACAGAGAGGACATCCATAAGACTGGTCACAGGACATATGACCAAAGTAAGGAGTCTCTGACATTTCCTATGTCTCTTTTATATATACTGGTATATTACACTCTCATTAACATGTGTGTTATGGAAAGAATTTTAATATTTGTGTTAAAAGTGTTAAATGATAATTTTGATTTAAAAAAACATGAACTTTCTTAAATTGGAATATGTTTGGCAAACATTTACCATGCAGTTGTAAACCTAAAGTACATTTTAGATATCATGTTGTAAATCTTACATTCCCTTTGTAGGTCAATGGCTTAGCCTTTGCCAATGATGACCTGTTTGCCACATGTGGGGATGACGGTAGTCTCAGAATGTGGTCTGTACACGACAGGGAGCAGACACTACAGTTTCAAGTCATGGAGCAGGTAAACAGAATCTTGTATAAATTACCTTTGGATTGGTATTTATACAACCAGTGCAAGTGTAAAAGAGGTAATTATATATATATATATATATATATATATATATATAATCTTTTTTCAATCTTTATTCCAGGCCTGTACTTGTCTGTGTTTTGCACCACCAAGATCCGACCAAAGCACCAGAACCACTGTCAGTAACCTCGGCACCAGTGCGCCAGTGGTGTCCCACTCTAGAGAGCCTAGTAAACTACTACTTCCACATGTGGCTGCGGGATACAGCGATGGCACAGTGAGGATGTTTGACCTGAATAAAGTGGAGCTGATCCTCAAGATGCATCCTCACGCTGTCACCGTCACCGCCATCAACTTTTCCTCAGATGGTAAGACTGATGGTTTTGGCTTAATCCCTGTTCTTTTGGTTACATGGCAGACTGCAGAAAATTTTCAACTTTTGAAGGAGTTTACTGTAACATTTGTGAAAATTTGATTTGTTTAAAAAAGTGAATTTCAGAGTAGTTTCTGTTTCATACTCATAATTTTATTTTAAGACAAGCCCTTGGTTGCAACGAGAACGAACATATCAGAAAATATGTTTATTTTTTCGGTTTTATTCTTTTTTTAAATCATTTATAAATGAAGAATAGTGTCACCCATGTAAATTGAATTTCAAACTGTTAAAATAAATTTTAGATTTTGGTAAAACTTCTGATATTAACAAAACTGAGACATGCTCTTTGTCTCCCCTAGGTCGTATGTTGCTGTCAGGTGGCAGTGACGGCCTCATAGCGGTCAGTAGTCCCACCACGGGGATGACTGTCAGGGTGATCAGTGACCACAAGGGAGCTCCCATCACCAACATTGATGTCACATTAAAGGAGGTATGTTGGTCCAGAACCTTTTATACTAATTACTTTGCAGTTATGTTTTAAATACTTCCATGTATTGATATTTTCAGGCTTATAAGTAGTGGTTTAATATTGTTGTGTATCCTTTACAGTTTGTTATATACATTTAATAAATAGTACTGCATAAATCCTGTTCATAATTTTTGTCTTGTATGTGGGAATAAATTTTACTTAGTAGAAATATGTGCCAATGAGTCAAATTGTTGACAAATTTGAGTTGAACAAATTATGCATCTTCCTCAGGGGCGGATTTAGGCTTCGTTCACATGCAATGTCTATTTTCTAAATTCTATTTTCTATTTTCGGTATGTCTTATGATCACGGTCTGTGCACTGAATATCCCGCGGCGTAATTACTGGCAGCGCGAGAGCCAGTTACTATAAGTTACTATAAGTAACTGGCTCGCGCTGCCAGTAATTACGCGGCGGGATATTCAGTGCACAGACCGTGATCATAAGATAGCGTGAATAGAAAATAGAATTTAGAAAATAGACATTGCATGTGAACGAAGCCTTAGGCCGTCTTCTGGGTCTTCCGGAAGACGTTCAGATTTTCAAGTTTACATTGACAGGCATCTAATTTTTTCTGTCGGAAGACGGTCAAAAATGGAGGATGGATCAACAAAGATAGTTTGGAAGACTGTTAGAAAATATCTCTGGATCCACCCCTGTTCCTAGCTGTGCTAAATTTAAACTTTAGCATTTAGTTAAAATTATATATGCATTGCTGTGTCTAGGTTGTTTCTACTTAATTTTTCCATCTGTCTTTCATTTTTCAGGACAGTAACTTTGGTATCAGTGCCCCCTCTCTGTGGCTGGCCACCAGTGCTGACCGCCGGGTTAGTGTGTGGTCAGCAGACTGGACCAAGGACTTCTGTGAGTTAGTGGACTGGTTGACCTTTCCTGCTCCTGGATTCACACCAGATGGCACTGTTCTCAAGAAAGGAGATGAGGTAGATTTGTTTAATTCTGAAAAATATTTTTTTTATTTATATAAAGTTTCTATATAAAAGCGCATTCTTATTAGCAATGAAAGAGATAACTTGTATTGAATAATGAAAAAATAATTTCATCAGTTTGAATGAATTTCATAGATCTAATAAAATGTCGACTTTTTGGGTTACAAGATTACGTGATACTTTGTTCAGACAATATTGAACAAAGAAGTGTTTTAACTCTTTCAAAATGTTATTTTCGTCCTTTTAAATATATATGTACAGATGAAAATAATATTAATATCTGGGCTTACTCCAGGATAGAACATAGCCTAAAACTCAACTTATTATAATTTGGTTGAGAAAAATGTAATATATTCACATTTAACTATTTTTGAAACATAGTCCATCAAAGTGGTTTAACATTTTTATTATTTAAAATAATCTTACTCTATAGCCGAAAAAAATTTTACAGAGTGAATTTTGTATATTGAAATAATAGATTAAAGTTTATAAAGAAGTACACTGTAACCATAGCAACTGTCTGTCTGTCTGTCTGTCTGTCTGTCCCCAGAATTCCTACTCCCTGTTGCCTCCCAGTCTGGCCAGGTTCTCTTTGGATGAACCAGACATCATAGTGTACACTGGGTATGGCATGCAGAAGCTGGTCCATTTCTATAGTATGGCACAGAGGAAGGTAAAATTTAATGCAGGATAATCTTTTTGTGTGTGTGATTAGTGTTACTGTTTATTGACTCTGATTGTTTTCTCTTTAATGGTATAATTATGTAAGAAAAAGTAAACACCTTGAGGGGAAATGATAGAAAAATAGAAGAGAATCCTCTTTTACATGTAACAGGTCTTCACAACAACAGGTAAAAATAGGATTTTAGATAGATTTCTACATGTAGAAAGACCAAATATTGGACTGCAAATTTTGCAGATATTAGCTATGAATAATTTATTTTAAGCAGTAAAATACCATTATATTTTCTGTACTGTATCTTGTGCCATATTTCTTGTTCAGGTGGTGAGAACTGCCGCCCTAACACACTGGGCCAGTAGCATGGATCTCTCCCCCACTGGCAGTCTGGTTGGACTGGCTGTGAACGGTGAGTCGCCTTAGGGTGTATTCCCAGAGATTTAGATTGATCCAGAGATTAAGATTTAGATAGACCTAACTCCCTGGGGGTTCACGCTAAATTGCAGTCAGCCGAGCGGCACCAAAGTTAATTACCCCCCTTACAGCTTTCAGTAGGCGGGACAGACATTTAAGCCGGCTAAGCTGACAGTAATCTAGTGAGCCTCCCCACAGGGATAGATCGATCTAAAATCTGTGGAAATGGAGTCTTAGACTGAATTGGTTATATATACTATGTCCCATTCAGAATAGGGTACTAACTACGTAGTCCGAGGGTCTTATACGGCGACCCACTACAAAGCTTGCTGTCTAATCCGCTAATAGACACTGAAAAGATATCCCGTGGGGAAGTATTCAAGTGGGTTGGCCATATTTGACCCTCAGACTAGTTAGTCCCCTATTCTGAATGGGGCCCAAGAGGAAGTAGTATAGTGTAATACATGTATAATGGCAGTAAATTGAAAGTTTCCTTTTGTTACACGTAGGAGGAAAAACAAGGAAAAAAGTATACTTAGATCTCGGGAGATGAAGATCTAAAATTTTTCTTGGATTTTGATAATAAAATGTATTTTTTTATTTTGTTTCATTCAGAGCGCCTGGTGAAACTGATGGATTACTTTGAAGGCAGTTTTCAAGACTTTGTAGGCCACAGCGACGCGGTCCACTTGGTGAGATTTTCACCCAATGGGAGCCTTCTGTTCTCCATAGCATATGGGGAGTTGATTGTATGGAGGGTTACGCTATAAAATGTGAGGACTATGACAGAAAAGAGAACTCAATTATGATTATAAATATTAAATTTATTTGTATCGAGAACTGAAAGGGAAAGGCAGCTAGAATTCATTATTGTAATTTTATGGAAATTAAATCTTACTGATTTTTACTTGAGTGTATGAAAATATTTGTACAGATTTTGCTTATGAATTCTACATTTTTTTTTTTTTTTTTTTTTTGCATTATGTTGCTTTATGTTGTATATAGTTTCTTCTATATGTCAATGTTTTTAAAAATAAATATATGGTGAATGTGATTTATTCTAGTTTTTTACTTGATACAACTGAGTGTAGCAATGTAATTATTCATCCATGTTTTATTGAGGATTTTTAAATACTGTAAAATAAATAAACACAAGAAAGACCATGTGTTGCAAATTTCTTTTCATGGTTGATATGCCTTAGTTACTATATGTTTCACATCTGTTTAGTAAATGGAAAACAAAAAAACTTGTAGGTACTAGTGCATTTTACAAAGACCCATCATTAAACAGGCCCGTTGGGGAGGGGGTCAGAAAGAATCGCCCTTTTTGTCAGAAAAAGCCCATTCTGGGTAAAATTTGATCTAAGTACACAAAGCATTCAATGTTAAATACCCTCTTTTGAAATTGCTTGCTGCTGGCCTGTACAAGATCGTTAAAACGTATTTATTGTAAGGTATATTTATCGTTAACTACATGGTATTTAAGGTAAATACACCCTAGGAGCAATGATTAGGTCTACACTGGGCTGTCACGTTAATTGAAAAAAAAGCCAAACTCGGTATTGGTTTATTATTTTAAAGGAGTTTGATAAAACAACAATTTGACTGGACCGGTCCCCTTTTGGAGATTGGCAACTTTAATTACAGTAGCCTAGCTTTTGCGTTAGAGATTCAGCTTCGTTCGATACGGCCAATATTAACTTCGTCAAGAAGCGAAATTGTTGAGAAGTTGTTTAAGGGGGTAAAACGCATGTTAGGACCGCGTAGCAGACCACTTGATAAGAAGGCGTTAGGGCTCATTCCCATTCCAAATATACCTCAGCACAATACTCCAAGAGGTGCGTTATTGTTGATCGGAAAAGGGAAGTACTTTGCGTATAGATCTGAAAATGAAAGATTGATTCAGATATTTGTTTACTTTCAACACTCCATAAGCCGTGTTATTTTTAATTGTAAAAAGGGAAGTACTAAGCTTATATACTGTAACAGAACAGCAAATGAACGATTGATCCAGATATTTATTTTCTTTGCGTTACTTCCCTTTCCATTTAATGCTCCCGAAGGCATACGCTTGTCGTGATTTACAATATAAGTGAAAGAAAAGCTTGTTTTAAAATCAACGAACAAGCAAAAACAACGGTCGATTGCTCTAACCAAAGAGCTTGAATTTCTTTGCGGATAAGAAAAATGTAGAAATCGTAAAAAGTTATGAATCCAATTTTAACTTTTCAAAACAGGAAGAAAAGCAAAAAAAAAAAAAAAAAAGAAAAGAAAAATGAAAAAACCTACCAACCTCCCTAAAAGTTTTAATGACTTCTTAATTGGATGCAACCCAGTTTTCTCCCAAATAATTATTATTATTATTATTATTAGCCACCTCTTAGAGATGAAAGATAAAATATATGCATCCACAAATATATATATATATATATATATATATATATATATATATATATATACACACAACATGTTGAACTCTTTAATAAGATCATTAAAAACGAGAATAAAATGTAATACACAGATATGAGTAAAAGGGCATACCCGTTTAACTCGCAGACATAGAAACTTCATGCATACATGCAAGTGCTTAGAACATTGCTTCGTGTGAGTTCGTGTGTGTGTTGCTACATTCAGAGGGCAATTTGACGTTAAAAAAAAGACCCAAATGGAGGGAAGACGGATTCCTTAACTAGCTTCCGGGGGGAGGGGGAGGGGAATAACTGGGAAATTCCACTACAGCTGTTTTTCGATTTTTGGCGTTCTGCTGTTCCCTTTTAGGAACGAGGAAGTAGTAACGACATTGAGTAACCCCCATTGTATTTTCATCGATTAATCTCGGCGTTTCTCTCTTTTTAAGACATTCCTCTATCTGAAAAAAAAAAAACGTGAATAGGCGGATGCCAGTTAGTTTCTTTCGGTAGGTTTACAACTTGGTCATATTTTTATGAATACTTGTATTCTTTACACGTCAGATACTCTTTTTTATCTGCAGGTACATCCGTCGCATTTCAGTGGCAAATTAAAGGGGTTATAGGTAAATAAACAAAATCACGACCTCAATGAACTGTTATTCTGGTCATTTCATATTGTAAACAACGTTATATAATGTAACTGGTGGTGTAACAAAAGAGCCGGATGATTCCCGGTTTCAAGCATCCTATGAAGAAAAATTCTCTTGTATTATTCCTTTATTAATAACAGGAATTGCAGAATTTTGGAAACGCATACATTAGAAAACGAAAGAAATCGCTGCTACATGTATAAAAGAGAATCGTTTTTCAAAACGAAATAGTTTCTGACCAAACTCTACACACTGAGCATGTTTTGTAAAATTTTGACTGCGCTGGTTCTCATCACTGCGTCACTGGGGTGGCGAGTTTGTCACAGCCATCGCCACTGTACCATCCATAACGACTCACTGCGCCGTTATGTCCTATACAACTGCTCGAATAGTAAGCTGTACGGGGTCCCACATGGAATTCCAGCCAATGTCACGGAGATAGATTTATCCTACAATCGCATCACCAGGATAAGGTCGGGTAATTTCGCTCATCTTCGTAATCTAAGTCGCCTAAACCTGTCGGACAATCGCATAGGTTCACTGGAGTTGGGTGCATTTGTAGACGTCCCTAATTTACGCGTGTTGAATCTACGCTCTAACTACTTACACATGGATTACGAGTCATTTCCCCGAGGGGCTTTTAAAAATCTGCCCCAATTACAATGGTTAGACGTAAAAAACAACACCAACCGTTACCCAAAACCTAACGAAAACTACCCTGACGAAGCCTTCAAAGACCTGACGGGTATAAAAGAACTATATCTTGACGGACTAAATATGGAGAATTCTGTTCTTGGCCCAGGATTTGCTTCTCTAAAAACGTTGCGTTTATTGGATTTTTCTGGAGATGACGGACGCTGCAGCCTAAAGAAGTTAAACAAAAATGTTTTTTACAATTTACGCAATTCACAAGTGGAACATCTCGACCTAGCGTTTTGTGAACTGTATAAGATCGATAACTTTACTTTCAGCTTTCTACCAACGATCAAGACTCTTGATCTTTCAGGTAACAAATATCTTGGATTAAAAAGACTTGGAGGTGTCTTTTATGGACTACAAAATTCATCTTTAGAGCGGCTAATATTGAATGCAACAACGTCTCCAGAAGATAGAACTTACATGTTGTACAGTAGTCGTGTTTTTCATTATCTCCAGAACATTACAACATTAAAACATTTAACTCTCGACACTAATTTCATATCAGATCTTGAACCAAACACGCACGTGTACGTGGAACATTTAGAAACCCTCTCGCTTGCCGACAACACATTTCTTAACGCACTCAAGCCAGCGTATGACTTAAGCCATTTGCAACACCTGAAGTACCTCAACTGGAGCTGGACATCTAGATCTAAACCTGAGGTACAGTTTAAACAGCAATTAAGACGTGGAGAGTACACATTTAATTGTGTTGCGCCCCCGAATTTAGAGGTCTTTGACATCAATAACAACAAATTACAATATCCGCTCAACCACATCATTGCTCATAATGCAACGTCTCTTAAGTTTCTAAACATATCAAACAATAATTTCTATGAATGGAATGGACCATGGGAAGTAGTAGGTAGCTCGTTTCAAGAGATGCGTACTCTCGACCTCTCAGGTAACCGCTGCTCAAAAATCAGCGAGACGTTCTTATATAATTTTTCTACAACACAATTTTTACATCTGCAGAATAATAAACTAGGACATTCTGACACTATAACAAATGGTTCATACCCAAGTCCTTTTCCGTGGCTCGTCAATTTGACGTACGTGGATTTATCTTCCAACGATGTGGAAAAGGTATCCCCAATTTTGTTCAACAATAATACCAAACTAAAGACAGTGGTACTGAGAAACAATTATCTTACTTCGGAAGGACTAACTTTAGACCTGAAAAACGTATCTTTCTTGGATCTCGCACACAATAATCTGGACTCTTTGAATGAAAAAATGAGATCAGTATTAGACGACGTGCAATCCCGAGAAAGGTTGGTGGATGTGGTCGTAAATTTGGCGGGAAATCCGTTGCAGTGCATTTGTGAGACTGAACAATTTTTCGTCTGGATGCAAACAACAAAAGTGCATTTTGTCGATCAAGATGACTATCAATGCACCCTAAAGAATGGAAGCATCGTTAGTATAAAACAACTTGATGCAATCGTTGGACATTTGAAAGTCACGTGCGCTTCTCGATTTACTTTGACACTCGTGTCAGTTATTGTTTCACTGGTAATCGTTGTCATTGTCGCCTTTGCAGTTTATTACAGATTCAGGTGGGAAATTAAGTATTTCTTTTACAAATTACGAATCAGACGCAAGGAATACGAAAAAGTTCACGGAGATGATAGGCATCAGTATGACGCCTTTGTGGCCTTCAGCAAGGAAGACTACAAGTGGGTGTACAGACAACTGCAACCCAATCTAGAAGACGCAGAAGCCGAGGAAGACCGACTCCGTTTATGTCTTCATCATCGTGACTTCCTACCTGGTGAAGACATCGAGGAAAATATTATCCAATCCATCTCACAAAGCAGAAAAACAGTTTTAGTTATAACCAGGAATTTCGTGCGTAGCAACTGGTGTTACTTTGAAATGAAAATGGCGCGCATGCGTTTGTTTGATGAGGGAAAAGACGTTCTTGTTCTAGTTTTGTTAGAGGACATCCCATTTCGTGAAATGAATGAGACTTTGTTTCATTTATTCAAATCAAAAAGTTATTTAGAATGGTCTGACAACCAAAGAGATCAAGACCTGTTTTGGAAAAAGTTAAGAATGGCACTCAAAAGAAACAAGGTCGTCGTTTAAAATACCACGTTTGAAGCTTGGCGTATATATTCAATCATTTATCGATGCGTCGTTACTTGAAAGATATTCATGTCTTCAAATTCTGCCTCCTGTTTATAGATAGATCGATAGATAGGTAGGTAGATAAAGGTCATCTGTATGTCTTTTTCCTCTCTAGAGAGAAATGTGCACAGAATTAGCTTGAGAAATATTTGTTAATAATTTAAAAAAAAAATCTCACGTGGCCCTTATAGGATATACTGCAATATGTTCTAAATATTAGTGATATCATTTTTGGCATTTTAAAAGAAAAGTTAAGAATGCTACTACGAAATAATGGTATGGTTAAAACAAAAAGATTATTTCTGAAATATTGGGCATATTCAAACTATTAGTGATGCATGTGTCGGTTATTGGGTAGATCTTCCTGCCTAGATTTTTAAATATGTAACAAATGGTATGCGTACTGCTTGCATTTCCGTCACTTAAAGGGATAATAACTCTTCACTTCGGCCAAAAAATGAATTTTCCTGGAGTAAACAACAATTTTCCCATACTTACCAATGGTTAATGAATCCATTTTTACCTTCAAAGTTAGTCCCTGTTTTTTTTCTAAAAAGTTTGTTTTTTTGTTAAAATCTCTTAAGAGATTTTAACAGAGTAAAGCCATCAATGGATGTCACGTGGTCTAAAGACAAGCTCAGATATCAGAATAATAGCCATAACTGCCGATTTTGTGGTAAAACAGAATATATTATATTTCTATGAGTTATTCACAATGTTTTTATTGTGAAATATAGATCTCATACGAAGAGTTATTATCCCTTTAAATAAATAATGGTTTGAAATGTATTCTATACCAGAGGTCTTCTGGGAAATGTGTCTTTATTCTCCAAAATTTTCCCTTGACAAAAATTTGCAAGGAATTAGCTAGAAGAATATTTGTAAATAAATTTGGAAAAAAAGATCAGTGTGGTCCTGATAGGGGATACTGCAATGTTTTACTTATCCCAGAACAACTTGATTTAAGACAACTTTAACTATGTAGATTTTTTTCCCTAAGCTGTACTTTTTTAGCTAGGATTTTTTTTTTTTTTTTTTTTTTTGAAAATCCTGATTAAATTTTGTATATAATTTTCGTTTATACTTTTTAAAATATAACTTCTTCGTATTTACGTTATAAGTCCCTACATAATGTTTAAACAGCAATTAATGTGGTCTGCCTTTTTCCTAAACCCAACTGATGAATTTTAAAATTATAACTGGGAAGTTGGTCTAAATGACGGGAAAATCCCCACTCTTTTCTTTTATTTATATTTTTAATCACAGTGAGGTTCGACTATACACGTATCGTATTGCTTCCTTTTTTATCTAAGAGGAAGCAGAAGTGAAAGGAATAGTAGTGAGTGAACTTATCTGTTATCGATCTACTTTCAACCCACAGCAATGTTTAAAGATGTATGGAAGGGGTGGATTGTGAATATCCACTTTTAAAGAATTAAACCAGGTCAACTTGTTAAATTAGTCATATTGGAACTCGAGATTACGCTATGAGATACGAAATGGATTGGTGGAAACAGATTTGGCTCAGGAGTAGGGGTGCAAGGAAAAAAAAATATTCTACCTTGCTCTGCTTGGTTATTGTAAAACAGTGCACTAGCACAAATGACCATGTAGGACACAAGTTTGAAAAAATTCTAGAAATTAAGTTTAAAAAAAAACCAAATGTAGGGAAAACCTAATTTGTGGCCAGGGTCATACCTTATGTTTGCGTCTATAATATTTTGACGCTGAACTTAACCTGTTGTATACTGGGGTATTGTTCCTGAACTAGTTTGCAGAGCAAATAAAAACGATAAGGAAAAAAGACTGTCAAATGCCATCATAGTTGTTATTCGATACTTTATGTAGGGCAGATTCCCATTCAGAAACGAGGAAGAAGTAGCGTTACAGGGGAAACCCCACTGAATCGTTATCGATTTATTTTTAGAGTTAAAGCATTGCTTCTGATGAAGAAATAATTTTGAATAGGTTTATACGTGTGCATCTTTACCTTGTTGTATTAAATGTTATTTTCACGTCAGATACTCTCTTTTTATCAACTGGCGAATTCCAAAATAGTTGTTATTCGATGCTTGACGTAGAGTAGTTTCCCTTTCAAAACAAGGAAGAAGTAGCGGTACCGAGAAAAAACCCACTGAATTGTTATCGATTTATTTTTGAAGTTAAAGCATTCCCTCTGCTGAAGAGATAATTTTGAATAGGTTTGTACGAGTTCATCTTTTCCTGGTAGATTTATAGCGAGTTATTTTCATGTAAGATACTCTCTTTTTATCGTTCTTAGTCTCCTTCGTATTTCTTTGGAAAATTAAAGTTGTAACCAAAATAAACTGCTTTATTATTATTATTATTTTTAATATCATGACTAACGCTATACAATGTCACTTGATTTTAGACAACTTAAACGATACAATTGTAAATTACTTTATTTTTGAGCTTTCCTTTTTGTACTAGGATTTTATTTGATTCTTATTATTCTTCGTGTATAATTCTCCTCGAAACTTTTTAAAAATATAAATTCGTAATAGTTTAAATGTTCTCCTCTGTCAGGATTTCTCTTAAAAATTTTTGTCATAATATTCACTTTGTGCAACAGTAGACAAACTTCGGATATTGTCAAGTGGGCCATCTCTGCCATTTCTCCCTTCGTTGTAAATTTGAATTGCTCCATATTGTGTAACATATGATTGTGTACATGTACTTCACGATTTGAGTTTATTGTAAATTTATAATCACACAAAGAAGTTATATCTCACTGCTAAACTTGAATATTTAATTAGAAATTAAAGTAGCACATCTGTTCATTATATAAAGATATATATTTGTACAGTCACAAACTGTCAACACAGTTACCAAATAGAGAGTAGTAATGCGCCTTTCCTGTTGTTGTTAATATATGTTATATTGTGCAAGGTCATGGTAATCCATGTACCAGTACAGAAATAAATTGAAATGAATTGAATTGATGTTCTGTTGAAACGTGTCACACCTTAAATATATACACCTCTGCAATCTACTTATGTTAATAACGATATAAAATAGGTGACTTATCGTTGTTGGATTTTACTTATTATAATAGTTCTTGGCAGTTATAAATTGTAACAGGCATCCTTAGTGCTACCTTAAATGTAACGAGGTTAGTTACCTACGAGTACAAGTGTGTGTGTGTTTCTGTCGGACAATCGAATTTACTGAATTTAAATGCATTTGTATACGTCCTTAATTAACGCGTGTTGGATTTACGATCAAACTACTTGCGCATGAATTACGAGTCATTTCCCCGATAATTTTTTAATACCTGTATATTTGTATATTTATCTTCTGAAGGTTGGCGTATTTTAAAAATTCTGAACTAACTTATTTCTTCGGTGAATATATTCCGCGTTTTACCCTAAGTAAAGCTAAAGCAATGGATTATATTTAAAATTATTCCTGTCTAGTGAAGCTAAATAGCGGGGAAATTCCCACACCTTCCTTTTTTTATGAACTTGATTATTATTTTATTGGTTATCTTAGTGGTTTCTGTTTTATCTAAGAGGAAGCAGAAGTGACAGCGATAGTTAAGTAGTGTTTTTAGCAGTGTTAAAAGACATAGTAATTGACTATCCACTTTTATAAATATTTAAACTTTATTAACTTGAAAAATGAGTATTATTGGATATTGGAATTCGAAATCAGGTAAGAAGATACATAATGGTGGTAGTGTAACAAAAGAGCCGGATAATTCCTCTTTTCAAGCATCCTATGAAGGAAAATTCTTTTGTATTATTCCTTTATTAATACCAGGAATTGTGGAATTTTGGAAACGCATAGGTTAGAAAACGCTGCTATAAAAGAGAAACACTTTTCAAAAGGAAATAGTTTCTGACAAACTCTACACACTGAGCATGTTTTGTAAAATTTTGACTGCGCTGGTTCTCATCACTGCGTCACTGGAGTGGCGAGTTTGTCACAGTCATCGCCACTGCACCATCCATAACGACTCACTGCGCCGTGAAGTCCTCTACAACTGCTCGAATAGTAAGCTGTACGGCGTACCAATGGATATTCCAGCCAATGTCACGGATATAGATTTATCCTACAATCGCATCACCAGGATAAGGTCGGGTAATTTCGCTCATCTTCGTAATCTAAGTCGCCTAAACCTGTCGGACAATCGCATAGGATCGCTGGAGTTGGGTGCATTTGTAGATGTCCCTAATTTACGCGTGCTGAATCTACGATCTAACTACTTACGCATGGATTACGAGTCATTTCCCCGAGGGGTTTTTAAAAATCTTCCCCAATTACAATGGTTAGACCTAAAAAACAACACCAACCGTTACCCAAAAGAAAACTACCCTGACGAAGCCTTCAAAGACCTGACAGGTTTAAAAAAACTATATCTGGACGGACTAAATATGGAGAATTCGGTTTTGGGACCTGGATTCGCTTCTCTTAAAATGTTGCGTTTATTGGACTTTTCTGGAGATAACGGACGCTGTACCCTAAAGAAGTTAAGCAAAAATGTTTTTTACAATTTACGTTATTCACAATTGGAGCATCTTGATCTAGCGTTTTGTGAACTGTATAAGATCGATAACTTTACTTTCAGCTTTCTACCAATGATCAAGACTCTTGATCTTTCAGGTAACAAATATCTTGGATTAAAAAGACTTGGAGGTGTCTTTTATGGATTACAAAATTCATCTTTAGAGCGGCTAATATTGAATGCAACAACGTCTCCAGAAGATAGAACTTACATGTTGTACAGTAGTCGTGTTTTTCATTGTCTCCAGAACATTACTACATTAAAACATTTAACTCTCGACACTAATTTCATATCAGATCTTGAACCAAACACGCACGTGTACGTGGAACATTTAGAAACTCTCTCGCTTGCCGACAACACATTCCTTAACGCACTCAGGCCAGGGTATGACGTAAGCCATTTGGAACACCTGAAGTACCTCAACTGGAGCTGGACATCTAGATCTAAACCTGAGGTACAGTTTAAAAGACATGGAGAGTTCAAGTTTCATTTTGTTGGACCGCCGAATTTAGAGGTAGCCGATTTAAATAACAACAAATTAGAATATCCGCTCAACCACATTATTGTTCATAACGCTACGTCTGTCAAGTTTCTAAATTTATCAAACAATAATTTCTATAAATGGAATGGACCATGGGAAGTAGTAGGTAGCTCGTTTCAAGAGATGCGTACTCTCGACCTTTCAGGTAACGGCTGCTCAAAAATCAGCGAGACGTTCTTATATAATCTTTCTACAATTCAAAATTTACATCTGCAGAATAATAAACTCGGACATTCTGACACTGTAACAAATGGTTCATATCTAAGTCCTTTTCGGTGGCTCGTCAATTTGACTTACGTGGATTTATCTGCCAATGAAATGGAAAAGGTATCCCCAATTTTGTACAACAATAATACCAAACTAAAGACAGTAGTATTGAGAAACAATTATCTTACTACGGAAGGACTAAATCTAGACCTGAAAAACATATCTTTCTTGGATCTCGCCTACAATAATCTGGACTCTCTGAATGAAAAAATGAGATCTGTATTAGACGACGTCCAATCCCGAGAAATATTGGCAGATGTGGTCGTAAATTTGGCGGGAAATCCGTTGCAGTGCATTAGTGAGACTAAGCAATTTTTTGTCTGGATGCAAACAACAAAAGTGCATTTTGTCGATCAAGATGACTATGAATGCACCCTAAAGAATGGAAGCATCGTTAGTATAAAACAACTTGATGCAATCGTTGGACATTTGAAAGTCACGTGCGCTTCTCAATTTACTTTGACACTCGTGTCAGTAATTGTTTCACTCGTAATCGTTGTCATTGTCGCCTTTGCAGTATATTACTACCCTGAGTGTCAGAGCAACGTAAAAGCTAGCTTGCTAAATACACCTTGTGGTGGAGTCGCTTTTACTGGTATTGCTACTATGGGTTATATATGAAATCAAGATCGAGCTGGCAATACCGGAATCTAGAACCTAGGTTATATATTACAGATTCAGGTGGGAAATTAAGCATTTCTTTTACAAATTACGAATCAGACGCAAGGAATACGAAAAAGTTCACGAAGATGATAGGCATCAATATGACGCCTTTGTGGCCTTCAGCAAGGAAGACTACAAGTGGGTGTATAGACAACTGCGACCCACGCTAGAAGATGCAGAAGCTGAGAAAGACCGTCTCCGTTTATGTCTTCATCATCGGGACTTCCTACCTGGTGAAGACATCGAGGAAAACATTATCCAATCCATCTCACAAAGTAGAAAAACAGTTTTAGTTATAACCCGGAATTTCGTGCGTAGCAACTGGTGTTACTTTGAAATGAAAATGGCGCGCATGCGTTTGTTTGAAGAGGGAAAAGATGTTCTTGTTCTAGTTTTGTTAGAGGACATCCCATTTCGCGAAATGAATGACACTTTATTTCATTTGTTTAAGTCAAAAAGTTATTTAGAATGGTCTGACAACCAAAGAGATCAAGACCTGTTTTGGAAAAAGTTGAGAATGGCACTCAAAAGAAACAAAGTCGTCGTTTAAAACACAACGTTTGAAGCATGGCGTATATATTTAATCACTTACCGATGCGTCGTTACTTGAAAGATATTCATGTCTTCAAATTCTGCCTCCTGTTTATAGATTAGATAGATAGATAGATAGATAGATAGGGAGGTAGCTGGATAGATCAAACAAATTCAAGCTCACTGATTACATTTTCCTAATACCAATCAAAAATGGTAAGAATTCAATGTACTTTCTACCAGAGGGCATCTGTATGTCTTTTTTCCGTTTTGGGGAGAAATGTGCACAGAATTAACTTGAGAAATATTTGCAAATAATTTTGGAAAAAAAATCTCACGTGGCCTTAATAGGATATGCTGCAATGTATTCTAAATATTAGTGATATCATTTTTGCCATGTAAAAAGATAAGAATGTTACTTAAAGAAATAATCGTACGGTTAAAACAGAAAGATTATTTCTGAAATATTGAGCATATTCAACATTTTACTGATGCATATGTAGATCTTCCTGCCTACAGAGACAGACTCCTTATTTAGATTTTTAAATATGTAACAAATGGTATGTGCATTCATTGCATTTCCGTCATTCAAATTAATGATGGTTTAAAATGTAATCTATACCAGAAGTCTTCTGGGAAATGCATCTTCGGTTTACAAAAATTTGCACGGAATTAGCTAGAAGAATACTTGTAAATAAATTTGGAAAAAAGAAGTTTGGCCTTGATAGGGGATACTGCAATGCAATACTGCAATGTTTAACTTATCCCAGCACAACTTGATTTAAGACAACTTTAACTATGTAGGGGGGGGGGGATCCCCTCTTTTCTTTTCTTTATTTTTTTTAATCACAATGAGGTTCGATTATACATGTACACGTATCGCACTGCTTCCTTTTTATCTAAGAGGAAGCAGAGGTGAAAGCAATAGTAGTGAGTCAACTTATCTGTTATCGGCCTGCTTTCAAACCATCAGCAATGTTTAAAGATGTATGGAAGGGGGTGGATTGTGAATATCCACTTTTAAAGAATTAAACTATGTCATCTTGTTAAATTAGTCATGTTGGAACTCGAGATCACGCTATGAGATATGAAATGGATTGGTGGAAACAGGTTTGGCTAAGGGGGACGGGTACAGGGAAAAGAAAATATTCTACCTTGCTCTGCTCGGTTATTGTAAAACTGCACAGGGCTCAAGTATGAAAAAATTCTAAAAATTGAATTAAATTAAATTAAATTTAAAAAAGACCCAAATGGAGGGAAAACTAATTTGGGGCCAGGGTCATACCTTATGTTTGCGTCTATAATATTTTGACGCTGAACTTATNGAGATAGTTTCTGACAAACTCTACACACTGAGCATGTTTTGTAAAATTTTGACTGCGCTGGTTCTCATCACTGCGTCACTGGAGTGGCGAGTTTGTCACCATCCATAACGACTCACTGCGCCGTGAAGTCCTCTACAACTGCTCGAATAGTAAGCTGTACGGCGTGCCAATGGATATTCCAGCCAATGTCACGGAGATAGATTTATCCTACAATCGCATCACCAGGATAAGGTCGGGTAATTTCGCTCATCTTCGTAATCTAAGTCGCCTAAACCTGTCGGACAATCGCATAGGATCGCTGGAGTTGGGTGCATTTGTAGATGTCCCTAATTAACGCGTGCTGAATCTACGATCTAACTACTTACGCATGGATTACGAGTCATTTCCCCGAGGGGTTTTTAAAAATCTTCCCCAATTACAATGGTTAGACCTAAAAAACAACACCAACCGTTACCCAAAAGAAAACTACCCTGACGCAGCCTTCAAAGACCTGACAGGTTTAAAAAAACTATATCTGGACGGACTAAATATGGAGAATTCGGTTTTGGGACCTGGATTCGCTTCTCTTTAAACGTTGCGTTTATTGGACTTTTCTGGAGATAACGGACGCTGTACCCTAAAGAAGTTAAGCAAAAATGTTTTTTACAATTTACGTTATTCACAATTGGAGCATCTTGATCTAGCGTTTTGTGAACTGTATAAGATCGATAACTTTACTTTCAGCTTTCTACCAATGATCAAGACTCTTGATCTTTCAGGTAACAAATATCTTGGATTAAAAAGACTTGGAGGTGTCTTTTATGGATTACAAAATTCATCATTAGAGCGGCTAATATTGAATGCAACAACGTCTCCAGAAGATAGAACTTACATGCTGTACAGTAGTCGTGTTTTTCATTATCTCCAGAACATTACTACATTAAAACATTTAACTCTCGACACTAATTTCATATCAGATCTTGAACCAAACACGCACGTGTACGTGGAACATTTAGAAACTCTCTCGCTTGCTGACAACACATTCCTTAACGCACTCAAGCCAGCGTATGACTTAAGTAATTTGCAACACCTGAAGTACCTCAACTGGAGCTGGACATCTAGATCTAAACCTGAGGTACAGTTTAAAAGACATGGAGAGTTCAAGTTTCATTTTGTTGGACCGCCGAATTTAGAGGTAGCCGATTTAAATAACAACAAATTAGAATATCCGCTCAACCACATTATTTTTCATAACGCTACGTCTGTCAAGTTTCTAAATTTATCAAACAATAATTTCTATAAATGGAATGGACCATGGGAAGTAGTAGGTAGCTCGTTTCAAGAGATGCGTACTCTCGACCTTTCAGGTAACGGCTGCTCAAAAATCAGCGAGACGTTCTTATATAATCTATCTACAATTCAAAATTTACATCTGCAGAATAATAAACTCGGACATTCTGACACTGTAACAAATGGTTCATATCTAAGTCCTTTTCGGTGGCTCGTCAATTTGACTTACGTGGATTTATCTGCCAATGAAATGGAAAAGGTATCCCCAATTTTGTACAACAATAATACCAAACTAAAGACAGTAGTATTGAGAAACAATTATCTTACTACGGAAGGACTAAATCTAGACCTGAAAAACATATCTTTCTTGGATCTCGCCTACAATAATCTGGACTCTCTGAATGAAAAAATGAGATCTGTATTAGACGTGCAATCCCGAGAAATATTGGCAGATGTGGTCGTAAATTTGGCGGGAAATCCGTTGCAGTGCATTTGTGAGACTAAGCAATTTTTTGTCTGGATGCAAACAACAAAAGTGCATTTTGTCGATCAAGATGACTATCAATGCACCCTAAAGAATGGAAGCATCGTTAGTATAAAACAACTTGATGCAATCGTTGGACATTTGAAAGTCACGTGCGTTTCTCAATTTACTTTGACACTCGTGTCAGTAATTGTTTCACTCGTAATCGTTGCCATTGTCGCCTTTGCAGTATATTACAGATTCAGGTGGGAAATTAAGCATTTCTTTTACAAATTACGAATCAGACGCAAGGAATACGAAAAAGTTCACGAAGATGATAGGCTTCAATATGACGCTTTTGTGGCCTTCAGCAAGGAAGACTACAAGTGGGTGTATAGACAACTGCGACCCAATCTAGAAGACGCAGAAGCTGAGGAAGACCGTCTCCGTTTATGTCTTCATCATCGGGACTTCCTACCTGGTGAAGACATCGAGGAAAACATTATCCAATCCATCTCACAAAGCAGAAAAACAGTTTTAGTTATAACCCGGAATTTCGTGCGTAGCAACTGGTGTTACATTGAAATGAAAATGGCGCGCATGCGTTTGTTTGAAGAGGGAAAAGATGTTCTTGTTCTAGTTTTGTTAGAGGACATCCCATTTCGCGAAATGAATGACACTTTATTTCATTTGTTTAAGTCAAAAAGTTATTTAGAATGGTCTGGCAACCAAAGGGATCAAGACCTGTTTTGGAAAAAGTTGAGACTGGCACTCAAAAGAAACAAAGTCGTCGTTTAAAACACAACGTTTGTAGCATGGCGTATATATTCAATCACTTACCGATGCGTCGTTACTTGAAAGATATTCATGTCTTCAAATTCTGCCTCCTGTTTATAGATTAGATAGATAGATAGATAGATAGATAGATAGGGAGGTAGCTGGATAGATCAAACAAATTCAAGCTCACTGATTACATTTTCCTAATACCAATCAAAAATGGTAAGAATTCAATGTACTTTCTACCAGAGGGCATCTGTATGTCTTTTTTCCGTTTTGGGGAGAAATGTGCACAGAATTAACTTGAGAAATATTTGCAAATAATTTTTGAAAAAAAAATCTCACGTGGCCTTTATAGGATATACTGCAATGTATTCTAAATATTAGTGATATCATTTTTGCCATGTAAAAAGATAAGAATGTTACTTAAAAGAAATAATCGTACGGTTAAAACAGAAAAATTATTTCTGAAATAAGAGCATATTCAACATTTTACTGATGCATGTGTAGATCTTCCTGCCTACAGAGACAGACTCCTTATTTAGATTTTTAAATATGTAACAAATGGTATGTGCATTCATTGCATTTCCGTCATTCAAATTAATGATGGTTTAAAATGTGATCTATACCAGAAGTCTTCTGGGAAATGCATCTTTTTTTTTTAAATTTCTCGGTTTACAAAAATTTGCACGGAATTAGCTAGGAGAATACTTGTAAATAAATTTGGAAAAAAGAAGTTTGGCCTTGATAGGGGATACTGCAATGCAATACTGCAATGTTTAACTTATCCCAGCACAACTTGATTTAAGACAACTTTAACTATGTAGATTTTTTTTCCTGAGATGTCCTTTTTTAGCCAGGATATTTTTTGAAAACCCTGCTTAAACTTTGTATATAATTTTCGTTTATACTTTTTAAAATATAACTTCTTCGTAACTGTTTACGTTATACATACTGTTTAAACAGCAGTGAATGTGGTCTGCCTTTTTCCCTAACCCAACTGATGAATTAATGATAACTTGGAAGTAGGTCTTAATGGGGGTGGGGGGGGGGGGGGGGGGGGGACCCCCCTTTTTTCAAAAAACGGGCAAGGGGCCAAAGAAAAAAAAATTTAAAAAATTAAATAAATAAATTAAATTTAAAAAAAAACCAAAAGGGGGGGAAAAAAAATTTGGGGCCGGGGGAAACCCTTTTTTTTGG